AATTTCAAGACTAAGTAAATATGATACTAAGTAAACTTTAAAGGGTTTAAATCTATAGGGACAAAGAGAAAGGATAGAGGAAATTGACTAGAAATTTCAGTTAATAACGGATAAAGAAGTAGAAAATGTTCTTACATGGAAAAGGGAGCCATACCCTGTGTGTGCAGAGGAGGAAATTGGAGAAAGAAAATTAATTTGCCTTCTTAGAGATCTCAAGAGGCTCCAACACTGGGACTTGCCAAATAAGGCTAAGGAGATTCTTGAGAGAAATAGGAGAAAGTTGTAGTCATGTGCAAAGGAACAAGAATCAGAATCCTAAACTTCATAATGGCAAACTGGATATAAAAAAAACAAACATAATAGGAAAATGACTATTTAAAAACTCTAAGGGAAAATGATCTTGAGCTTAAATTCGGCATTTCAGCTGAACTTCCCACCAAGCATAATAGAATAAGGATATTTTCAGACATATACGACTTCAAAGAATTTTCCTTCCAGGACCCTTCCCCAGGAAGCTACAGTAGGGCATGTTCAACTAAATAAGAGAGAAAACCCAAAAAAGAGAAAGACATCCAAGAGATCCAACATGAGAGAGCTCAGTGTCAGGTTGACAGCTCAGCCAGCTTACAGAACCAGAGTGAAGGTGGGGGACAGAAGACCTCAGGAAGAACATCTCTGGAAAGAAATGGAACACTGATATGATGTCATGACTGGAAAAAATTAAGGATTATTATGTTATGATAATTATAGCAGATAGAGCAAGGTTTTTTTTTTTTTAAAAAAAAAAAACAGTGACTAGAAGGAAAAGACAGTAAAAAAGGAACACAGTTCTCTACTTGGCTCTGCAGTGAACAATATTATATAGTGATCCCCCCTTATCTGCAAAGGGATACATTCCAAGACCCCCAGTGGATGCCCGAAACTGTGGATAGTACCGAATCCTATACGGTATATGCTACATTTTTCCTATACACACATACCTTTTCAATTAAAGAAAGTACTTTATAGCTTCTCTTTGGCATATCCAAGTTGCCAGCATCACCACTCTTGAGCTTTGGGGCCATTTTTTAAGTAAAATAAGAATTACTTGAACACCAGCACTGTGACACCTGAAGGAGGATCTGATAACCAAGATGTCTAGCAAGTGACTAACTGTAGGTTACTGTAGTTAGTAACTGTAGTTACTAACTGTCTACAGCCTGGATACACTGGACAAAGGAATGATTCCTGTCCCCAGTGAGATGGAGCCAGGATGGTGCTAAATTTCATCACAATACTCAAAATGACACACAACTTAAAGCTTATGAATTATTTCTGGAATGTTTAATATAATATTTTCAGGCTGCATTTGACAGTGGTGACTGAAACTGCAGAAAGTGAAACGGCATAAGGGGGGACTACTGTAAATTCATCAAAAAGCAGCACTGTTAATTTAAAATAATTTAACTAAAAAAGTAAAAAATGATTTAACTAGACCTTCCCTACATTCCATTGGTCGCAGAAGTATTCTATAAATGGACCAGAGATGGCCTCTCTGTATTAGCCTATAACGGCCTCTGTGTTGTTTACTTCTTCACAGTAGCCCGCCAGTGTCAAATTCAAATCCTCACACATCCAACTGCTTTAAATATAGTAAAAACAAACAAAAACAAACAAACAAAAAGTATTTCTAGCCAATTTGAGCCTGCCTACTTTACAGACCCCACAAAACTGAATTGAACTTCTGCTAACTATAGGAGAGACAATGCTATAGTTCTAAAAGATCCAAAACAGCTGCTGCTCTTCGGAGCATTGCTATTGATCAACATTATGTAGATCTATGAGCCCTTCGGATTTCCCCTTTCCCCGAGAGTCCCCTTTTCCCATTCCTGTCCAATGCTGTCACCTCTACTACTAAGTTTTCCTTAGTTCTGTTGGGTTTTAGATGTTTTGAGCCGATGTTACTGGGACAGACTTCCCTTCTCACGCAATCTTGTCCAAACGCCACCCAAATATTGTGTTACTGCCTCTCATGACTCTGTCTCCTCCTTCGTCAGCACCCAAATCCCTGAATTTGCTACAAGCAATTACAAGAGTTTGCAAGTTCAAGGGGAATGAATGTAGACCTCACCTCTCCATGGGGGATGTTGCTACAACACTGTAAAGAGCACATATACTCATGGCACTGTCCTTGGCAAATACACTGTCACAAAGATCGATATATAAAAATTAGCTGCATTTCTATTTAGTAGCAACGATTCGAAAATAAAATGTCAGATACAATTTATGCTGAAATCAACAAACATTCAATGCCTAGCAATAAAGCTAATGAAAGGCACATAAGATCCTACACAGAAAACTACAAAACATTACTGACAGAAATTAAAGAAGTCTTAAATGGAGTGACCTATCATATTCAGGAATTGGAAGAATTCCGCAGTTGCTGGATGCATATGTCAATTAGGTCAAGTTGGTTACTGTGTTGAGGTGTTTATGTGGGTTTTGTTTTTTGTTATTGTTAAATCCTTTTATCATTATCAATGTCCCTCTAAACTTTTAGAAATGCTCATTGTCTTAAAGTGTACCTTGTCTGACATTAGAACATTTACCTAATAAAGGACTCATATCAATAATATAAATATCTATGTAATATCATTAGGGCAATTTATAAAAGGGAGCCCAAAGATTTAAAAAACTCCTTCGAAAAAGACAAATGTCATTCACAACCAATAAATGTGAAATGAGTTCAACCTTATTATCAATAAGGGAAATGCAAAATGAAAACCAAATGATTCACTGTCGATGGCTAAAAATAAATTAAAAATAAATTTCAAAAAAGAAACCACTGACAGTACCAAGTATTGGCAAGAACTGGGGAAACTGGAATTCTCATACATTTATGCTGGAAGTGTACAAATGGTACAATCACTTTAGAGAACAGTTTGGGGGTACATAACAAAGCTGAACACATTCCATTCTGTGCATACATGTATACAACAAAAGACAAACATAAGAATGTTTATAAGGACTATTCACACTAGCTCCTAACAGAAAACCCAATGCTCATCACTGGTAAGATGAATAAGTATGGCCTTTTCATAATAAAATATTATTATACAGCAATATAAGTGAAGGAACTATTTCCACATCTACAGTGTATCAGTCTCAAGTTTGAGGGAAAGAAGCCATACACAAAAGGGTATGTAATATATATAAAGTTCAAAAACAGGCAAACTAATTTATGTGATAGCAGTCAAAATAGTGGCTTTTAGGGGCTAATAATTAGAAGATGATGTAAAGGTCTTTGAGGTGTGAACAGTGTTCAATATCTTGATTTCGGGAGTGGTAATAAGCATGCACTTTCTGAAAACGTATTGAGCTTGATGGACTTTTCTGCATATGTATTACAGTACAATAAAGTGCTTACAAATTTTTAAATGATTTAACTGTATATGGAGGGTGTGGCAGAACTATGGGTGGTAGGAATTTCTATAACTGATAAATCAAGAAATAGCCTATTTTAAAAAATAAAAATTATCACAAAAGTTCAAAATGGTTGCCTTTCGGAGGGGGAGGGGACTGTTTTTCAGTAACTTTTGGTATTAGATATTTAAGTGACATGCATATATGTTATAGATCAGAACATTTCAATTTTTCACAAAGGAAAAATTACTGATGTTGGTAAAAATGTAAACAGTTTCCTACAACTAGCAAGGCTGAAGTCTAATAGGAGAAAAAAATTCACTTTGCTTTTAGGCAAATTACAGTTTTAAACATCAAGTTTAAAAGATAAAAGTTATATTAGGAAATGATAGATGCTCTACTACCACCACAGTTTTAAGCCAAACACTAATCACCAAAAAGAGGAAAAGAGGTGAGGGGTGGCAGAATATGCCACCCCCAAATATGCACTTTGGCATAAGGACAACTTTGACCTAAAGGTACTTAAAAAAACAGCAAATACAAGAAGGGCACTCAGATTCTCCCCTTTCTTCCCAAAAGCAGGAGATAAAACTCCTGTGTGGACAATGTCCTCCCTGTAAGTAACATTCTTATCAAGGACAGGATGTTGAGACTTAAAATTCTACACAACTCTATTAAAATACTCCTTTTCTTCCTTTAGCCCCCTCACAGTTTACCTTTCTCCATTTGCCTCTTTGTTCAACTTAATTTGTAAAAGCCTTTAGATTCTGCCACTTCTTTGTGTCTTCATTTCCTTATGAGGGCTTCCATGTCACATAAAACTTAAATAAACTTGTATTATCTTCTCCTGTTAATGTCTTTTGTCAATTTCTCAGACTCAACCAAAAACCCTACAAGGGTAGAAGTAAAATTTTGCTTCCCCTGCAGAGGCAAACCCTAAGTACGTTTTACTCTGTTAATGCATAGCAAAGAACCTAGTTGTTTACATTCCTATTTTCTCATTATATAAAAAACTTGGTGTTAGAACACAGAATGGTACACTTGGTATGCCGTATATTGCTCATGGATGAAAGTTCTTATTTTAGTGTATTCTTCAAATTAAACTGCCATTTCTCGTACAATCTATAGAAGGCACTGATAAAAATTATGTGGAAATGGGTGTTCCATGGTCAATCATGTTTTGGAAACAGTGGATTTCTTTATTGTGGGCCTTCTCAGAATCATCATTCTGTTAATGTTTACTGTGTTTACTGTGATTCTCCAGGAGGATCTTCCTCTGTGCCTCAAATGGTGAGGTGCTTTAACATTTGTTACATTAAAAAGGAAGAAAAAAATAATTTTAGTGGCAAGAATCCATTACAGAAGGAATTAGGAAGAAGCTATTACTAGGTTTAGGGTAATTTAGAAATATAAAAATTTCAAACTTCCTCCATGCCTTAAAAATCTTTCCCAGAACTTATCATATCTTTTAAATTCTATTTTTTTGGTAGCTTTCGTGAGGTATACTAAGGGTTTTAACTGGCTTTTCTAAAAGAGAAATTCATTGCATTAAAATCACAGTTGACACAGCTTTTTAAGAAAGACAGAGTGCTAAAAAAGCATTTTAAATATTAATTTATTTGTGTTTTTCCAGTCAATGAACTACCCAGTATTTAGATACAAGAATAAAAAGAACAAGCAAAAGATGTATACAATATGTTTTTTTAATCTGAAAAGAAAATCAGTACATATATATGTTTGCTAAAGAGTGGTAAAAACTGAATGTTATGTATTATGGAATCAGTATATCAAATTTTACTTTGATAGCCAGTGATTCTTATAGTTAATTCTGGGAAAAAAAAAAAAAAAAAGGTTATGCAGAAACAAGAATACAAAATGCCCCTTTCTGAACCCGTTTGATAAAACTGATTTCATATTGAGCTTATTGATAATATTCAGTTTCACTGTGCAAATTATACATGTGGTCATTAATGGTGGTTTGGTGAAGTGAAATCCATTTCTCTTAGGATAGTTCAACATAATAACCCAAATATAAAAAGTTATTAAAGACTCACAGAGATAAACCAGTACCTAGGGAACATAATTCACCCATGTACATAATAGTTTTATAACGTTTTTAAACAAAATCGTAGTCGAAGATAGTGATAACATTGCATACTCAGTGCATTACTTCATGTAGTGCATTCCTATGGCTCATCTGAGTTTAAAAGCATGTAACTGCCACACTTCTAATGAATGGGCTTCTGACATACACAAGTCTGTCCAATTCTTTAAAAATCTAAAAATCTTCTTAAGATCTGGAGCTGACATGTAAGGACTCTGTGTTTTAATACCCCAAACGTTGGGAAGAATAGTCATGAAACACAGTAACCACCCTTTGGTAAGCAAGATGGGTATATTTTTGTTACATAACCACAAAGAACCCTCAAAGCAACTCAAATACTGCAGATAGAGAGGGGCACATTTATTATTTGGCCAAAGAAAATATAAATGGCTTTCCTGGAGTCAAATGTACCCCAAGATATATACAAAGGATGAGTATAACTGTGACAGCTAAAGAAATTTGCCACTGTGGAATAAATGCTATTTTGCAATGACGCTGTACATTTTGATAATAGACTATGATTTGTTTCCCACCATCATGGGGCACAAGAAAATCAATCTCAAGACAATCTTGTTAGCACAGGACAAGTGATGACTCCAGTTTTAAACAAGATTCTTCATTGAAGCAAAAGATAGAGCCATAAAAGTCAAATTAGCTCACTTCAGGATGAATCAGGTTACACTGATTTAAGCCCAATTTAATTTAGGCAGTTTTTTAACCACAAGAATAAGGTCGTTCTTAGTACATATTAATAATTAAATCAACATATACACAAATAGCAATATTCTATCTAATATTAAACTTTTTAACAACTTGTTCTCAATTATTTTATAATTTGCTGCTTTGTTTAAAAAAAAAAAAAAGCTGAACTTTAATTTACAATGTACTTTGTATTTCTAAGTGTGTTAATGATTTCCTTGAAGCAGGTACAGTCCTCCGGATTCTAAGAGCCAAATTCAACTGTATCTTCTGTTATCTGTTTAAATTCATAATTGCCTCTGCCATCCATGTGGAGGTAGTACTATGGGAAAGAAGGGAGAGAAAAAAGGAGAGAAAAAAATCATTGACTAAGAGAATTTCCTTTTTGTCAGGAATTTATGTAGAGGTTATTATACAAATGATCTAAATTATTATTTAGAGCTACTAAAGCCTTTAAAAGTTTATACACAGAAATGCATAAAGTTCTCCAAGGTAAAGGCTAAATGAAGACATGTTCATTTTGAAAAGAGCAACAATATAATTCTGCTTGGAATGGATATAGTGCTTTCTCTCCTAAGAATTAAAATATCAGACTTCCTCATTATTTTAAAGGAACCAAATCTATAAGTACACCTACAATTAGAATGCTCCTATAACTTCAGAACCAAGGATCTGATATACCACCAAGTGCAACCCAGTTTAGTAGGGTCGTTTTTAATACTTCCTTATCTGGTTTCCTAGATCAGCTCGAAACCTCTACCTTAAGGCTTTTTGTCTATTTTTGGATTTAGCAGAGGGAGAATCAAGAGCTATAGTGCGCCTACATACCTCATTCTATGAAGACACTTAGGACAGCTGTTACAAAGCCTTCTGTTTTTATTTAGTGCCTTTTTATTTACAAAAAAGCTTTGTTTTCTATTTTTCTACTGTTATTTCTTAGCTATTCTGGCTACTAACATTGCTATTCTTCCTATTATTTGGCTACTTGTTTATACCTCTAGAAGAAGAGAGAGAAAACCCAAGTCCTCTCACTGTCCTATGACTATAATATTTATGAACTTTGAGGAAATACAAAGGTTTGGATATATTTTAAACTATTTGATTTCTAGTTATTCAATTTCTCATTCAATTCATGAGAAATGAGCAGATTATAACATGCCATAAGATAAAAACTATATTTAAAAGTCACACAGCTCTATAGAATTTCATTATATTTTATTAAATATTTTCATATAGGCTACCTCTTTGATCCTCATGGTAATCTATGAGACAGGCTGACAAGGATGAAAAACTTTATTATACAAAGGTAGCAACTGATGCCAGACATAGTGGTCTGAATGCAAGTTTCTTAACTTTGAGTCCTATGCTCTTTTTTTATCATTTGTACACTATTGCCTAAACCATAAGTTCTAAAGGGTACACGTAGTACTCTGTATCCTTCAGACGGTGAGCCCAGTACATGGCAAAAAAGGTGCCTGATCAGGTGTGAATTTTATGAGAGAAGATAAAATTGTTCTAACTTTTCTCAAATCCTTTCTTTTACCTAAGATTTCTGTATCATTTAGGAAGCAAAAAAAAAGGAGGAGAAGAAGGAAGGAAAGAGGGAACAGAAAAGGAAAAAGAAAAGAATATAAAATGAAATAAACTGGGTTTCTTTTTAGAGTTTGATCACTTTACAGTAAGAGTAGAAAAGAACTGTTATACTGAGAATGGCACTGCTGGAATGGCAGAATAAATAAAATATCTGTACCAGTGTAAACCTCACTGTAATAACTTTGTAAATCATCATGACTACCTAATGAATTCTATTTCACTGCTGTGCAATGGTAAACACAGCTGATGTTATTCAATTTCTTCCTTATAGTTCTGATCACTCGAAATGTCCCTAAACTTTTTGCCATCTAATCCTTCGTCTCTTTCTCCTTCTGCCAATACAGCAGAAGATAAGAAGATAAGAAGATAAGAAAAATATTACTTAGTCATAGTTGTGATAAGAGTATGCAAATTTTAGTCAATTATTATACGACAGTCATTTATAAAACCGGAGAACCACTAACTGGTTCTCTAATATCTCTTATATAACCTAGGGATTGTTTATATGTACTAAAGCTTTCAAAACTAACAACTACAATGATATCTAAGAAAATCCTATTTCATTTTATAAAACTGAAATAGAATCACCTTTTTTCCTTAAGGTACATGTATCAAAGGGAATATACACCAAGAAATCTAAAAGCATAATCAGCTGAATTCATATATTTAAATAAATTTTCACTGTATCGTTCAATGTAAGAAATACAAACCTCATGGTGTTTCCAAAGAGACTTCCTGTGTGACACAGTGAAGAGGGTGATACCGACCTAATACAAAGAAAATGATTTAGATTGCTATAAACAACACAGAATACAAATCAAACCACTCTACGTATTTTAAGCTTTAAGATGACTATCTTCAGTAGCTATAGTTAAAATTAATGTCAAAGAGAAAAAATTACAACTGATGACAAATGTTCAAGGTAATACAAAATACAGGCCATCAACTACATAATAAAAACTAATGGGTATCAACAAAGTTCTTTAAGAAAAATAAAACTAAACTAACAGGTACTATTGCTGTGTATTATTTTGTTTGGGGCAAAAAATATATATCCTAGTACATTTTCCATCTTACTGTGAAAAATATGTAAAAAAAGTATAAAGATGATAAAAACAGCAAAAGGTCAAAATCAAGAAAATTAAATCAAAACAGTACTGTCTACAGCCAATTTGTTTTTCAAATACAGGGTGATAATCTTTTATTGGAAACCTTGTTTTGGAATCTGTCTTAGAACTCAGATTTTAGAAAAGTAGTATTTACCACACCCCCAGAATTCTGGGGCAGAATTCTATAATTAAACACATGAATGTTTCTGCAGCAACACATGGGGACACTGACACTGAGATATAACACTCTTTGCTAAAGTGAGATATCATCCTTTAACAGTAACTTTGTTACTTAGTAACTTAGAATCTCCTCTTTGGATAGATATTTGGTGAGTCACAGAATAAAACAAGAAGGGGCACATGGACCTTTAAACTGAAGACTTGGCATACTGACCTCTCGACAATGACTATAAATGTAGCCTTCCACGTCCACACTAACTGCACTTGTGCATTCATCTAAAATGGCAAACTGGGGTTTATGATAAAATAATCTTGCCATCTGAGGAATAAACAGAAATATTTTGTATAATCACATGCAGAAATAAGCTAAAATAAATTAAGTATGCATTTACAGTCATAAAGCAAGTATAAAAATTATTCTAACTCAAAAAATCTATTTCCCAGAAACAAAAACAATATATAAACCTCATTGTTTTTATTATCTTGCCGAACAAAGGGGAAAATGTAATAAAATGTTAAAAGTAAAAAAAACCTTTTAGGACTGATATGAGATGAAGTTGAGTTTCAAACTAATATTAAAGAAAGTTCTCTAAACAAGATTAAAGGGTACATGTTTTAACCAAATCTTAGAATTCAGACTTATAGATGGCACAAGTGCAAAAATGTGTCTATTTTTTTGTTGATTAAGTAATGCCCATTAAGTTGCCAATTAATATCCCCATCAAACTTTTTGAGTGTACCTGGTTTCATATTCCTGTGGTCAGTACTGAGTGTGTCCATTTTTTTAAAGCATTTGCTAATTTTATAAGTAAAAACTAACATCCAGATTGTTAAAGCTTACATTTCTTTGATTAGCAGAAATACTGAACATTTTCTTAGGTTTATTTTCCACATGTATTTTATTTTCTGGGAATTATGTATCTTGATCCTTTGTCTAACAGATATTCCATTTTGTCATCTGCCACTAACAATGATCTCCACATTGCAAAACCAATGCACACTCTTCTATCCTTACCCAATTCACCTCCTCTGCAACATTCAACTCAGATGACCACTCCCTGCTCTTTAAGTGACAGTGAAACTGGGTCTTAAGTTTCCTCCCACTTCCTAAGCTGCTTTCTCAGCTTCTTTTCCAGCATTTTCTCTTCCATCTGACCACTAAATGTTGAGGTTCCTCAGGGTTAATGCCTAGGTCCTCTTCTCTTTTTCCTATATTGCATCTCATTGAATCTCACGATTTCAAATCTCATGATCTACACCTGCAAACTCCCAGTACATATCTTTCATCTATATTTCTCTTCTAATTTTCAGATTGATATGTAAGAATTTCTATTTTGATTTGTCTACTTGGATACCGCATGGGACTCTCAGACTTAAAAATCTAAAACTCATATAGATTTTCTAGATTTTCCCCTTAAAATCCATTCATCTACCCTCCCAATCATAAACATTTCAGAAAATGACACTATCAAACAGTTGTTCAATCTAGAAAGCCATGAGTCCTTCTCTATCATTCCCCTCTTCTCCTCCCTTTCACTCCCTCCATCCCCTCATTTTTAGTCCATTTCAAGTCCTGTTGAGTTTAAAATCCACTCACTTTTTCCCCATCTCCATAATCATGCTTTTTTTCCCACAACATAGTCATCTCCTGCCTGGATGACCACAGATAGCTTCCTACTTCCTCTTTTACTCCGCTCCAATCCATTCTCCATGTAACCAGAGAAGATCTTAGAAATATAAATTACAAAATTTCACTCTTCTGCTTAAAATCTTTCAACAACTTCCCATTTCACTTAAAATAAAACTCAAACTCTTTACCATGGCCTACAAGGCCCTGCACAATCTTATTCCTGCTCGCTCTCTACCCTCCACATTCTAGCCAATATTGCCTCCTCTCAACTACTAGGACACAAGGTCAAGTATATCAGGGAGGACAAGACAGTTGCCCGGCGCAAAGTTAATTAAGAGAAATGGCTATCTGAAGGCATTCTACACATGCCCCCTGTGTTCCCATGGAGCTCGCTGCATGCCGTCATCACACTTCTCACATCATGCGTCTCTCCCTCCACTATGCTATCAGGTACTTGATACTACAAGACTGTAAAGTGAATGAGTACATGAACACTGCAGTCATACTACCTGAGCTTGACAAGCCAACCCCCTCACCCCTACATGCTTTAATTTTTACTAGCTGTCCTTGCTTGACAAGCTACTTAACTGTTTAATTTCCCCTGTACAATGGGGCCTTCATAGTTCTTATCTCACAGGACTGTTGTGAGAATTAAATGAGAAAATCTGTGTAAAGTGCTTAGCATAATACCTATTAAGCACTCAATAAAAGTTAGCTGTCATTTAACTGAAATAATAGCTTCTCTTTTTTAAGCAGGAGATAAGTTATTCTGCTGAGAGTGGTAGAGTAGAAAATGGGGTAAAAGCCTGAGATTGGAGTTTTTAAATGATTATCATGAAAAATGAAAGAGAGGGGGAAAAATAAGTAACATGATTGCCAAGCCATGCTACAAGCCCCTGTAAGACTGGAAACCATGAAAGTGTGCTGACACCAATCCACATCATTCTGATTTTTTCAGCTGTGCTCAGAAGCCTACGCACAGAAATGCCAAGGCAAACAACTGCTCTTGATTGGGGTTTAGGTAATATGAGAAAACAAAAAGTGGGAAAGGAAGTTAAGTGGAAGGGATAATTTGTTCATTCCTTTAAGAAATACCTCCGGAATACCTCCTATGTGCCAGGCCCCATGCCAGGTCCTGGATTATTAAGTCTGTACTAGACAGGAAAGGAGGTAGAGTCAGAAGAGGATAAATCAACTGTAAGAAAAAGATTGATCAATTGTAAGAATATGGAACAATATTCAAGAAATCTCACTGAGTTTGAAGACAACAGCTGCCAATTAGGTAAAAGAGAAAGAATTATAAAAATGGTTTAAAAAGACACTAAAAATTTTATGACAGTGGTATTTCTGGTAAGGGGGTTTTGTTCCTTCTTTATAATTTTATACATATTCCAACTTTTCTATCACATATATTTTTTCATAATTCACAAAAAGAACTCCATGACTAAATAGGAAGAGTTCTGAAAGACAACTATCAGTCAGAGAAATATGATATACTAAATTATGATATTAGATAGAACCACCTTGGCTGATGATGACTGGGACCAAATGAGTGCAATGGAGGGAAATATCACTTGAGATCTCACTGGACAATGAGAGAAGAGAACTGGATAGACAGCCCACATGCACACCGAAGGCTATAAAGTACTGATTGGTTAAGAGCAACAATTCTGGTGTCAGACCCACCTGCACTTGAAGCTCAGTTCTGCCTCTCATTAGCTGTATGGCATTAGTAACCTGATTGAGCTTGCCAAGTCTTTCCCTTGTCTATACCTTGCTTTACAAGTCTGCTAGGAGAATTAAATAGGATCTGCCATTCAAAACCAACTTTTTCCCATCTTTATACCAGTGCATTTCCTTTGTAGCTATAAGACTGCCTTGTATTACAGTTATTTGAGAATATGTGGATCTTCTAACTAGAAGATCCAAATTATATCATCATTGAATTTGTTTTTTCACTGTTAAAATAATGGAATAATCATCTTATCTCTCTACATTTAGACTGAAGGAGCGTTTTTCAAGGAGCTTTTAGAAATCTGTCACCAGACCTCCTTTTATTCAATAGTATTATTCCATTCTCTCAAATTCAAATCCTAGCTCTGCTTACCCAAAAGTTCCTTTGGTTCACCAGTTTTACACAAACCCTCACTCTTGTAAGTTCTCTAATTTGGATGGTTAGACCTTTCAAGTCTGTTCTTCCTAAAAATTAGTTTTTAATATTGATAAATTCTTGTAATTTATGAAAACTGTCTTCACTTCCCTTAACTTTTTACTTTGAAAACTTTTAATCAAAAAAAAAAGAAAGAACAGTAAAATGAACACACATAATCTTCACCCAACTTCATCAACATTAATATTGGTTGTATTATCCTCTTCTCTCTCCCCACAAACCCTTTGAAAGTAGCAAAACAATATGCTCTCTTTTAAACTTTACGTTTAATTCTCCAAACACTGGCCAATACAGAACACACACCGTCAATGGCTTGGTCAAGCAGCAGGGCCACAGGAGAGCTTTCTCTCACTCCCAAACAACTCTATCATAGTTCATATGGTTTTACAGGATTCTTTCCCCTACGCCCTTACTCTTCCAAGATATCTTCTCATTCCTGAAGACCTTGAATTTCTTATCTTCAAATAAAAATTATCCAACTTGTACCTTTATACCACACACACAGAATTCCTTAGTTATGCATTTTTTTTTATTTATCTAAGTTGCTATTGTGTCCATTTGTGACTCTTAGCCTTCCATTTTCTTTGAAATCAAAGTATAAAATTTAAATTTGTTCTCTTGACTTGCAGTTCTTTCTATAGCAATCCCCTAAATTGATTCAAGAAATGCCCAATCATTTCAAATTCTCACTCATTCAGCCCAGTTTCCATTTTGAGTATGGCTGACATCTTTCTTTTGTTTATGATTTATTCTTCACTCTAGATTAATCTTATATTAACAGTTCTAATCAGAAAAATCACAATATTAGGTTTATATCAAGTTCATATAAAATGGGTATTATTTAGGGAAAAACAAAACATGCAAAATTAGGGAGTAGGAGGCAACAAAATGGTAGAATATAACCTGAAGATAACGAATAAGCAATTCTGCAATAAGCCGCTTCTTTTACTCTTTCCTTGGCTACAGTTTTCTCTAATTTCCATAAGGTTAATATTCTGGAAAGAAAAATCCTTCTGGATCTGCTCAAACTATGGTATGTACAGTTAGAAAATAACTCTTTAAAAGTTATTCCTCTTAACAGAGTACTCACTCCTAATATGTAGAGTTTTATAGTCATGTTTGATAAGGAATAAGTTTAGTCAATCATAAAATTAAAATAGTTCCTTTCAAATGCTTTTTTATAGTAGAAAAAATTTTAAATTCTAAATAATTCTAGGAACTAGATACTAATCCCTGAAACAAGGATACATATAATGGTAAGAGGAAAGGGCAAGAACAGAATAAAGAATAAAATGATAATAAAATTAAAACTGATCATCTCTAATATCAGAGAGAAAAGCCTTAGTAAGACAAAGAGATGTCTATAGGGAAAAGACATAGAAAGAGATCTCAAAATCCAATCGAGATTACCATATATCCCAGGACCATGTGGTACAAAGTTTCCCCAACTTTTACAAAAATGTAGTAATGGTATATAATTGGATGTGCAGCTTTTCCTTTCACAGGAAAATTTATAAATTTTTCCGAATTCCAAAATTTACATGCAAGTTATACACTTTCAAGCACCTTTATTATCATTTAAACTAATCTATACAAAAACCATTACTAATTGAAAAGATTAAAATAAAACTGTGTGCCTTGATTAATCAACCAGTTGCACTGTTGTGCAATGTCTTCACAATATACTTACTGCCATTCTTTGCTTCTCTCCACCACTGAGTACATCCATCCAATCCTGAACACTGTCCCAGCCTCCTTCACGTTCAAGGATATGACTCAACTGGACATTATCTAAGTATTCCTTCAGTACCTTTTAGCAAAATGATTAAAGGTGAAATCAAGCTTAAAATAAACCAACATTATCTATCTTACTTTTTTTTTTACAATAGAATCACTATAAGTCTATTGCCAATATCATTTAAAGAGGCGCATTTCACAAAAGAATGTGGCACGAAGGTAGCCCCAAATCCTTTACTTCCTATCTATATTAAATCTGACAAAATATATCTAGTAGCTTAAAGAGAATAACACTATTATGTGTAATTAAAGGACAAGGGCAATGAGAGAACAATCATTTAAAGACAAGGTTAAATACTCATCAAGTCATATTTAAGCAAAGTGGTTCACATCTTAACGTATCTTGGAAATTATAATTAATGACAAGGCTTTAGGAGGCTTTTACAGGTTAGGATAAACTACTTAACTGATTAAGAAAAAGAATCTTAAACAGTATTTTCAGCAGGTCTCGAATATAAATATTTACTTACAAGGTCAGATATCCCCTTCCTTTTCTGATCTTCTCTTCCATCTGGATATATCACTTGGTCTCGAAGTGTTCCAAGAGTCATATAAGGTCTCTGATAGTAGGAGAGCAAAAATCATTACAAGTGAATTCTTAAACAATAAGAATAGCTTTATATTAAAGATTACAAAATAACTCAAAAAAGGTCTTACTTGAGGAACATAAAATAACTTTCCTCTCTCAGGTTTAGTTAGACGTCCTCCAAAAAGAGGCCATAACTATTGGATAAAAAAAAAAAGAGGTGTAAAAGAGCAGTTGTAGATTCCACGATGTAGTAGGTCACATGGCAAAATAAGACTGTAAAATTTTGAGGCTAATTTGTACTTACTTCACCAAGAACACGGAAAAGTGAACTCTTCCCACAGCCATTTGGACCACAAATTAGAACATTGGCCCCAGAGCGAACCTGAAAGGAAACCGGTCTATGAATTAATTAAATAGAATGAATATATATGCAATGAACATTTACTTAGAGTTCTCTGCTAATGACTAGCTTTCTGTTTTGTCTATAAATGTGATATGAGGTAGAAGCAGTGGATGGTATGGTTGAAGGGACCCTTTGTTTTTGTTTACTTTCAAATTTTACTCACTTTTTAAAAATTTAACCCATTTCCCGTTTGCCTTAAGAATACTCATTACCAGTGCTTGCAGGTGCAGCGTTTACCCCGAGATAACTCATGGATTACAGTCCTAACCTTATCCCCAAAGTTTGCCACAAAATATCTCGCTTTTATTATTATTTTTACATTGCACTAGTATATCAATGTCTTTGGAAACAAATGACATCATTCTATTTACAGTATTGTTTTTAGTAGTAGTACTTCCATTTACAAAATACAGTAATTCTTGATCACTGAAAATATCAAATCCTGGAAAATGTAGCATTCCTAGGCATGATGTTAAATTAATGCTGGCAGAGAGCTGCAAATCTTTTTCTAAACAAGAAGAGTTAAAAATCATTATTGATATTATCAACTTCATCTCAGTCAGAATACAAAGAGCTAAAGCTTAAAAAATTTGAGAATTCTTGAAAACACTAAATATGTGTGTATCCATAATTTTCTTTTAAAAATGGAATCGTACTATATATGTCCTACATTTGTTATTGATTAACAATATATAACATATATTCTTCTAGGTCAGTGTATTCAGATTCCTCTCATTCTTTTTTTTAATGTTTGCAGTGTATTCCATAGTAAGGACGCACCATAATTTATTTAAATACTCTCCTTTTGTTAAATATTAATTCAACTGCATTTTGTTTTGCTCTTAGCTAATTCTGAGTCAGTGGGCAAATTTATGCACTAGTGAGAAATGTTTCTATACATCAGATTCTTTGGAAATTATAAGTGTTGGATCAAAGTATATATACATTATATTTACACATGCTACCAAACTGCTCTGCAACAATAGAGTTAAATGATAAATAGTAAAAAGAGTGGCTAAGTTCTAAACTTATGATCTTACATGTTAATCAATCCTGTGAAGACTACAAAAACCTGGAGTTATAACCTAGCTCACATTACACAGCAATGTACACAACAGGAAAGGAGGACAACAACGAGATATGAGTTATCCTAGCTGTTGGGACCAGCCTTTGACAATTTTTTAACTGTCAAGCCTGAGGTTCCTATTATTTAAATTCAGTGAATATTTACTGAATTCTCAGCATCAGGTTCTGTTCTAGGCAATGGAGTTACATTAGAATAAGAGAACAAAAAACCCCCAAACCAAAAAAAGCCCCAAACTCTCTCCTTACCATTTTACATTCTAGTGGGAAAGACATACAATAAGGAATAAGCATAATAAATGACCCAATTAAATAATATGTCTGAAAATATGTGTTACAGAGAAAAAACAGATCAGGGTAAGGAAACTTGGGAGTGGGTGGGGGAGGTCACACTTCTAAGGTGGTCAGGCCAGGCAAATGGGCAAAACTTTGAGAGGAGGAGTGAATTAGGAGTTTATCTGGAAGAAGATTATTCCAGCCCCACCCTAACCATAAAAAAGCAGATTCAAAGTGACTGAG